AAATAAATGTAAATTATTTGGAATAGTGGAAAGCCTACCTGTCTGGCACGGATTTAAATTCCTGACCAGAATATCACAAACCTCTCTCTATGAGGTTTTGAATGTCGCGCCGTACGAACTCCGCGATAAGAGTCGGCCTATATATGGATCGTGTGCACTGATCATAAGAGTGAATGCACTTATATGTGCATTATTTTGTTTGATTGAATTTAGCCTTGCCTGGTCCCAATTAACCCAAATGCTGCTGTTATTAAAACTTAGTTCAACAAGTTTCCTTTTCTGCCTAAGTGTTAAAATCGAAACTTTAATAGAAAGTGTTTTTATACCCTCCGCCATACTATGGAGGGTATATTAAGTTTGTCATTCCGTTTGTAACTCCTCGAAATTCTCATGTTAGACCCCACAAAGTATATATATTTTGGATCAGCGTAAAATTCTAAGTCGATTTATCGATGTCCGTCTGTCTGTCTGTTGTAATTACGCTATCATTCGAACGAAATGAGATAGAAGGCTAAAATCTTGCACACATGTTTATTTTGTCAGTAGGCATGTTAAGTTCGTAAATGGGCCATGTCGGCCCACGTTTTTGTATAGCTCCCATATAACTGTACCTCCCAATATTCGGTATTTCGATGATTTAAGCTACATATTAACCGGAACTGTTCCAAATTTCGTATATGAAGTTCGGAATAGGTTCTACAGCATATGACACAAAATTGCACATTCAGGTCCACGGCTTCGTATAGCACCCATATAACGGTACATCCCGATATTCGGTATTTTGATGATTTTAGCGACATTATTAACCGGAACTGTTCCAAATTTCGTATTTGAAGTTCGAAATGGGTATTACAGCCTATGATAGAAAATTGCCTATGCTGGTCCCCGTTTCCGTATAGCCCCCATACATCGGTACCTCCCGAATTTCGGTATTTTGAAGGTTTCTGCCACAATCAACATTGATAAACATAGTGGTTAAGGGTATAAAAAGTTCGGCACGGCCGAAATTACTACTTACTACCTTAACGATTTTCTTCGTTTAAAAACTCACCTGCGCTTCTATGACTTTAAACAAATCAACATAGTGGACAACGAGAACCACCAATAAAAAAGAGGACACATAAAGTACGTTAATAAAATATGGAACGCAAACCCAAAAAAAGTACTGTTCACTATAATAGAGTAAACTTATGATGCAAGTAGGCTTTAATAATCCAAAATGTTTAATAAAAAAGATGCATAACTATTTTTCAATAATAAAAACGCTAACACTGCAATAAATGAAAAATTTTACCTATTTTCATCGTGTAATGTGATGTGTGCCGCTTTATATCTTCTTAAACTATTTATACCCTACACCACATAGTGTTAGTTTGTAACTTCGGAGAATATACATAGGACTGTCCTTAAATGTCAGACTGTCTTTAAATACCAGAATTGCAGGCTACATTTTGAGTTTTTTTCTAAAATTTTCAAGCTGTCCCCCCTCTTCACCATTAACCGCCTGGGCCGCCCTTGTGTATAGAACTAAAATCATTTCAATCCAATGAATTGTATTAATTTTCAAATCTTGTAATAATCAATTTATGAAAATAAAAAGTCCGAACACCAAAAATTGAAACAAAATCTAATTATTTTGAATTGAAGGAGCGCCAGACATTATTTAATCACACACGCACACAAAGGGTTCATCGACAGCAGCAGTTTGGCAGTAAATGTATGGGCCGCTTACAAAGCATACAAATATTGAAAACAAAAAAAACAAAAAAAAAACATGACAAAAAAGGGTTATTCATGGCAAATGATTCATAAACACTCACACACTTTTCATTACAATTTTTATCAATTGTCCATCCAGGCATGTATTTTCCCTTTACACACCAGGTAAGGAAGGTTTGCACGCTGAAATAAATTTTTAGATCAACAATATTTCATAATAATTATCTATTACCTCACCTTGAATATTCATCTACAATATTTTATTTACATTGCGCTCTCTTCTTTCAAGTGTATTGTTCGGAAAACTAAAAATTGATTTTGATGAATTGATCATGTAACATCGGCTCTGTTGTCCAACAAAGAATAGCGCTTATCGCTGTAGATAATCGACTTGAATATCCCTAAACGCGAATAAAGTAACAAAAGCAATGATCGAAATAAAATTTTAGTTCCCTGAACAATACTTTCGAAAAAGGAGAACGCAAAGTAAACAAAATATTGTACGTGAATAGTTAAAGTGAGTTAGCGGATAATTATTAGAAAATATTGTTAATCAGAAATGTATTTCAACGCGTAAACCTTCCTAAACTACTGGGTGAAGGGAAATATATGCATAGATGGATATAAAAAGTGTATGTTAATGTTTATAAATTGTTTGCATTGAATAACCCTTTTTCTTTTGCCAGATTTTTTGGTTTTTTTAAATTTGTCATGCGGCTCATACATTTTACTGCCAAACTGCTGCTGCCGCTGAACATTTCGTGTGCGTGTATGATTAAATAATGTCTAGCGCTTCTTCAATCCAAAAATAATTAGATTTTGTTGGAAATTTTGATGTTCGGAATTTTTTCCAAACATAAAATTTGAAAATAAATACAATTCATTGGATTGGAGGGAATTCAGTTTCATAAATTGTTTTGATCTCTATCCTGCTTGAAAACTCACACATTAGTCATGTTTATGTTGGAGAATTTTCAAATAAATAATCATAAAGGAGGTTATTCTGAGGATTTTGGCTTATCTCTATTTTAGTAAAAACTCTGCAGTGGTTGAAATTGTTGTCCTGATCACAGGAAAGTACTTTTTTCGTGGGAAACGGCCCGGCTTTCCGGAACCGATAACTACAATATGGGTATCGTTGGAAAGCTTATTTTGAACAAGTAGTAACATGGCGGTATTATTTCTATCGCTTTATGAGATATTTCCAAAATACCTGTTTTCAAAATTGGGTTTTTTGTAAAACACTACCCATTATGGGGTTTCGCAATATTGGTACCAAATTAAATCGTACCTTTTGACTTTTCCAAAATGGTATAACATAAAAATATGGCCAAAGGTCGGCAAACTTAAAAATGTAATGAATATAGATATACTTTGGATCCCGTAGCCTGTGTTGGAAATACCCCAGAGGAGAAAATCTCAAGTCACGGCCGAAGGCCTGCCACCTAAAAAGATATTGTATAGGACTGTTTCCGTCGAAAAATGAAGCTGAAATCTTTAAAATACCAACAATCGGGTGGTATTGTTGTGTGGGGGATATATCAAAGATATCAAGATATAAGCCATTTTCGAACTAAAACTAAGTTTGGTCAAAAAACTACTGTGAACCGAATTTGGGCCAGATCTGGGGCTCCGTTTGAGAGTTGTCGAGCTCACCAGCCAGCCAGACAGACGGACGGACATTGCTAAGGCGACTCCAAATTGTCTGAAACGGGTTTACTCTTAACACGTGTGGGGTCTAACATTATTATTTCGAATTGGCACATTTTCATCGTATGAGGGGATAAAAACCAAAAGAGTTAAATGTCTTTTGGGAGCTCCAGCTGTGATCGGGCTGAAATTTTTGCCATAGTTAGTCCTCAGCTTCCTGACCACAACGACATACATATTTTCGAGGGGAAGTCCATACTTCCCGAGAAATGGGCCTTGACTTTTCGGAAAATCACCATTATTACTGCTATAACAATATGCATATCATTTTAAAGCTCACGAAGAGTACTTTATAATGCGGACAATATAGAAGAGTTAATAACGGTGATATATATCAAAAAGTCAGGACACATATCTCGGGAAGTATGGACTTCCCCCAGAAATATCAATATCGTTGTGATCAGGAAGCCAAGGACTTACTATGGTAAAAATATCAGCCCGATCCGAGAGGAGCCCATTATGAACCCAAAGGTACTATTGCAGGAAATTTCCTAAAAGTCAAGACACATATCCCGGGAAGTATAGACTTCCCCCGGGAACGCTATATATTGTTGTGATCATGGTCCCGGAGACTACCCCACCTCCAATCTTACTCCATCTTTTATAATAAATAATTTGTTTCTTATGCTTAATTAACTGTGCAGTTACTTACATTTTAATACTTCTTCAGCAGACGCACCGATTTCCTTAAAACCTCCTGGTTTTTCTTCTTTTTATAAGAGAGGGAAGACACACTTGCTCTTTAAAACGTCTTTTTTTAATTCTGCAGCAACTTTATTTTAAAATTTTTCTTTTATTTTTATAATTGGAAATTGCGCTATAAACTGTAAAAACCACTCCGATTTATTTCACACAGTAACAACGAATGACGCGCTTTTGAAAAACTTGCATAATATGGCTTCACGCAACATTAAACTACAACACTGTTGCCTATGAAAAATATCAACAGAGATGTATTTTTCAAGCCGAAACCTTCGGTCCGAAATCGACTCGATTTAAAGAAATCATGATATAAGCCCCAATGTTTTCCCCTTTAGCAGAAGGAACCAAGTAAAATGAATCTCATGTCAACTTTGAAAGGATAAAAATCTTAAAATATGTGAAAATCTAACAACATTAAAAAAATTTAAAGATGTATGCATATATCCTGTGTGGATTTATAAATATTTTGTAGCTTTGTTCCAGTACTGCAAGATACTATTTTTTTTTATTTTTCTCGATAACATAAAGGAATTGTATCTTATTAAAAAATTTTAGATTCTTGCAAACAAAAATTAAGAGAGAATGAACTAGGTGACTATGAATTACATATAGCGTCGTATGAATGGGTTTATTCGTGTACCCGCTTTACTTTTTTTGTTCTATGAGTTCGTAAAATCGAGTCGATTTTGCACCGCAAGTATAAACGCGCCTAATTTACTTTCTTTTGTTTCTGGATTTTTACGCAAATTTCAGCAAATTGACAACATAAGAAAATAGTGTATACTTTCATTTTCAGGCATACCCATGGTAGAAAAATACAGGTAGATGCATCAACGCTTAGAAGCATTGATATGTCAAAAATTTTGAAATTTATTTTCAAATAAAAATATATTTTTATATGTTTTCTTATACGACGTCATTCGGGGGTTATTATAATATGCCTTTTTCGACAATTTTTACAAATTTTAATAATTTTTCATTTAACATTTTCAATTCCAAAATTGGTTTGACAGTTCATTGTCTCAGCAGCTGCGTCGATGCGTCTACCTATATTCTTCTACCATGGGCATACCAAATACTTTAAATCATAAATGAAATGAAATCGTTTGGTATGCAAATATAATAGTCCATTTATATTGAAGTTCTTTATCAGGACTTAGCGCATTATCGGGTTTTATTTTCTTAATTTGATCAAAATCAGCCAGATTTGCCATACAAAATGAATCTTTACTTATTTTAAAACCGGCACAAATCCTCAAATGCAACACTGTTTTTTAAACATAAATCTGAACACTTCCAAAAAATCAAAAAGTAAAACTTCATATGAGTCAACGTTATATTTTGCATTTTGAGTTATCACAAAGAAAATACTAATTATGCAGTAATAGTACGTTAACACTAACTGGGTCAAGGTTAAACTTGTCAAATCATTTGCATACACGTCAAATAAACCGACATGAAGAAAGTTAAACTGAAAAACCTCATGTGAAAAAATAAGCAAAATAAAGGAAATAAAGTAGCAATGATTCCTACAGAAATCAAGTTTGACTGAAATTGCTTTTTTTAAATATTAAATACAAATAATGCGTATTCAAATGTTGAGATATGCTCTGTCTTAAAACTAGAGGGTAGTAGACCCTATTGTAGACCTATTTTTGCCGATAACATAAAGAAAAAAATGTTATTTTCAGATTCTGGAACATATCAAAAATTTAAGGATTTCTTGCTTAAACATCATAAACGTTTATCTAAATTCTGCGATATTTGTACGGGATTTTTTAAAATCTAGTGGAGATTTTATTCCGTATAACTGAGCTATAAATCCTAAAAAAGATCCAAAGTTTGGTTTTGTCTTCGGCAAAAAAATACAACACTGTTGACACTTTTGCATGCAGTGTTGTAAAACCTTTAGCATATTTTGATGTCATAAGTGACAACAGTGTTGTATTTCCACGTCGTGGTCGGAACGTAACGGAAGAATGTGATAACTTGTTATTGTAGTAAACATTTGTGGGTTTTTGCACATTCTAGTACATAGCAATTGCAAGTCCAAATCTACATTAGTTTATCGGTGAGAGAGTTTATAGTACGTTTACAACTGACTGGGTTAAGCCACTGAATTAAGGTTTAAAAAATAAACCCAAATTGGGTTGGTTAACCTCTGTCTCCATCCAATTGACAATTGGAATAAAAAAACTTGTTTGAGTTATTAGACTAATTTTCACAAATTTTCCACAGTCGCACTTTGGTTGGCTTTCGCTTTGTTTTTTATGATTAAATTAGTCCGAAGCTTATTCCGTAATATTTAAACGACTACACTCAATATGTATATTTCATAAATTTCATGTGATTTTTCTATGATTATTGCAAAAACAAAATAAAACTAGTAAGCAAAGGCTACAGTCGGGCGGGGCCGACCGTATAATACCCTACAACACTATAATAAGCCATACAGTTTATATAGGAATGATACTCGAACGCATTCTTCAAGATAGAGTGATAAATAATTTTTCGTGTAGTATGGCTTTAATCTATTTTTTTATATCCAATTTAAAAATTGATGTTGGACTCAAATGCTGCTCGTTTCGAATCATCCTATATCTAGAAAATGGCAAAAGTAAAACATTATTGTTTTTTTAACCGAAACCATGTGGACATGCTCATTTTCGTGGCATTTAACCCATATTTACCCCCTCTGTATCTCCAAATATAGACTCTTCTACATGATTTGCTTTTCTTTCAACTAAATCTGTATAAAAATGCCAGAAGTTCGTCTTTTGTATATTTGTAATTCCGCCTGGAAGTTATTTTCAGGATTTCGGTAAAATGAAAATGTTCGTATTTTTCGCACAAAAATAGTCGTCCATTCTACCCGCTGTCCTGAACTCTAACCTGATGCGATATTTCGTGTTCTTTGGTCTCTTATTGTGCCCTTTTTAACGGCTGCAAAATCAGAAAGATTTTTAGTTGCTGGCCCATTTCAGCCACTAAATATATTGCGGAAATCTTCAATAACAATAGGCCTAACATTTTTGAGCCTAACCCTACCCTCGTGAAAATTTTCGTGAAGATCGGACAATAATTGCAATCTGTATATTATAATCCCAACCTGTGTTGTAAGGTAAAAAAAAATATTAGAAAATGTATACTTCAATATTGTAAGTCAAAATGAGAAAATCACATGCGATAAAATATGAAAAAAAATAAAAAATATCACAAAATATTACAAAATGCATATTATCGTCATTATTGACATCTTTTTATGCGAAACAAAAAAAACATTCTGAATTGACAAGATTTGTCAAAATCTGTCCAGCCATTCTTGAGATATAAGCGCTCAAACTAACATCCATTTCCATTTTATATATAAATTCTACATATTTCGCTATATATACCTGATATCATTACTATCAACATCTATGTTACGGTCAGAATTGACCTTCTCGTTTATTTGTGATTTTGCCGGGACTAAAAATATTCGCGGTTTATTGAAAAATTTGATTTTTTCAACACAAAATTCGGGGTCAATTTCACCCGCTAAATATTATCCGATGTCCACCAAAATTAAAAGATTTCTGGCCAATGCTAAGCTCTAGCCCCATGCTAAATTTCGCTTGGTCTATAATTGCGACCTGTATAGCCACTTCAAAATCAGACATTTTTTCAGTATTTGGTCCATTTCAACCCCTAAACATGTGGCGATCATCTCCAAAAACAGTAGGCTTCTATTCTGACCCTAACCTCACCTTCGTGCAAAATTTCGTGAGGATCGGACCATAATTGCGACCTGTAGCGTGAATAAAAATTAACATGGACAGACGGACGGACGGACGGACATACATAGCTAGATCGACTCAGCTCGGCGAGCTAGGAAGATCCATATAACCCATAGTGTTGTAGGGTATAAATATGCAGCATTCTGTTACAGATTTTATGTTTTCTTTGTCAGAATTGAAATAATTTTCCATTAATTTGCCAACGTTCGTGTTAGGATGTTTATGCGTTAAAGAAAACATGCAGGCAGTCCAAAGTTGTCACTTCCAGTAATAGTGAAAGGCGTCAAATATTGTAGAAAATTGGTTGAAACTCGGCAACCCTACCGGAGTAAACATACATTTTTTTGCAAATAAAATGAATATATATAATGTTTGCAGGCTAAACATTAAAAAAATTTTTTTTTTTTTTAGAATGAGAAATAGTTAAAATACCATAGGAGCATAAAAAGTACATTTGTATATTTTGTGTCCCCAAAGAGATCATGTCCCCAAAGAGTTCACAGCATATAAAAAAATTTGGGGACTGTCCCCAACATGGCCAACTGTCCTCAAAGAGGTCAAATCCTCCAAAAACTGTCCCCAAACAATGCGGCAGACATATATATATATATATATATATATATGTCAAAAAGCAAGTACTTACTTTGTGGTCCACCAGAATTTTTCGAAACAAAAATGATCAAGATTTGAGGTTATAACACTTTCAATGTATGAGCATGCTGTGTACCAGACTTTTTCCAAAAAAATTCAACTTCAGTGTATGAGTGTGTCCGTCCACCGGACTCTATGAAAGCAAACAGGTAAAAAAGCGTTCGGCCGGGCCGAACTTAACGCTTCATCATAGTATAGTATGGAGGGTATATTAATTTTGTTTTTCCGTTTTGTAACGCATCGAAATAATCATTTCCGACCCTATAAAGTATATATATATTTTGATCAGCGTAAAATTCTATGACGATATAGCCATGTCCGTCTGCCTGTCCGTCTATTGTAATCACTCTAGCGTCTAAATGAATTGAGATAGATCGCTAATATTTCAGCAATTATGGATATAGGTCCGCCAATTCTCGGTATTTTCGGGTATATGGTAACAAATCTCCCCACCAAAAAATATTAATATTTGCCCCCTTTTTGGGGTAGTCCCCATATAACCCCCTTTTTATACCCTCCACCATAGTATGGAGGGTATATTAATTTTGTCATTCCGTTTGTAACTCATCGAAATATTCATTTCCCACCCAGCAAAGTATATATATTCTTGATCAGTGTAGAAGTCTAAGACGATCTAGCCATGTCCGTCCGTTGTAATCACGAAGGCAGGTCAAGTTCGAAGATGGGATATATCGGTCCACGTTTAAGCATAGCTCCCATATAAAGGTACCCCCCAATTTTCGGTATTTTGCGGTTTTTGAGCGCGAGTTACATCCCCATCTCTGGATGTATAGTAATCTAATAATAAATAAAAAATTGTCATGGATAAATCTTGTTTAGAAGATAATCTAATAATAAGTAAACATTGTCATGGATAAAGCGAAATACATGTTCAGAGACAATCATTCAATGCAACGTAAGCATAAATGTTTCGCTTCATTGAATGCAAGTATCTATCATTTTTATTTCTATATTTTAAAATTTTAGTCTTAAGACAAACTCTCAAATAAACAAAACTCTAAAGAAAAACCGTATATTTTTAATCCACGTTGCTGGTGCATTCGGGCTACCCAATTCCGAAGAATTGGATAGAAAAAAAACCTCCGTTTTAAGGCATTGTAAAGTTCGGCTAAGTTATTTTGCAAAGAAAATATATATAAAACAAGTTATAAAAAGAAAAAAATAGTGAAAAAATTTAAAAAAAATTAATAAATCAACAAATATATGTTAACAAAGACAAACATACGTTTACGGTTCACAACAGCAAATATAAGTTTACGGTCAGTACTAAAAACTAAGTGACTGTAAAAATATTAAACAAAATCATTAAAGAACTAAGGAGGTATAATAAAAAATAAAATAAATAAACATTTCAACACATATACTCATGAAATAGAACATGAAATAGCCACTAAAACTGACAGACCCATATATTCCAATATATCCAGGTATCCAAAAGTCCACGAAGAGGAAATTGAACGTCAAATCAGCGATATGTTGAAACAGGGAATAATTAAGGAAAGTTCCTCCCCATATAACAGCCCACTTTGGATTGTTCCCAAAAAGGAAGATTGTCGTGGAAACAAAAAGTGGCGCATAGTTATCGATTATAGGAACATGAATGATAACACCACCGCTGACAAATATATTAGATAAAGTGGGTACAACTCAGTACTTCTCTACTATCGATTTGGCTAAAGGTTTCCATCAGATTATGGTAAAGCCTGAACATAGAAAAAAGACTGAATTTTCAACTCCATTTGGCCATTATGAATTCATAAGAATGCCATTAAGGCTAAAGCATGCCCCGGCTACTTTCCAAAGATTAATGAATTCAGTATTAAGAAAATATATTAACCGAATATGTGTCGTATATTTGGACGAAATACTGGTATTTAGTGCTTCTCTACAATAACATATAGATAGTATGAAAAAGATATTTTCGGCCCTTGAAGAACCCGGTCTTAAAATCCAAGTTGATAAATATAAATTCTTAGCAAAAGAAACTTCTTATTTAGGACACATTTTGACTCCCGAAGGATTTAAACCAAATAAGGAGAAAGTGAGTGTAATTACAAATTTAAGATTATCCACAAACCAAAAGCAAATTAAATCGTTTTTAGGTATGACAGGGTATTATAGAAAATTCATAAGGAACACATATTGCATTTCCAATCATTTATTACCTTAAGAATGACAGACGAGGTGGCACAAGTGATCCAAATTATATATTAGCCTTTGATAAATTAAAGCAAATTATTATGGAACATCCTATTTTAAGGTATCCGGACTTCGAGAAAAGATTTAAGCTTACTACTGATGCTAGTAACTTTGTGTTGGGCGCAGTCCCCTCTCAAGATGGACACCCGATTAGTTTTGCTTCAAGAACATTAAATGAACACGAACGAAATTACTCAGCCATTGAAAAAACTTCTTGCGCTAGTATGGTGTAAAGTACTTTAGACCGAGAATTTGATTTACACACTGACCATCAACCACTTAAGTGGCTACAGATGAAGAATTATTCAAGAGATTTTAATTCTAGACTCCAAGATAGATTACATAAAAGGTAAAGAAATCAAATAGCCGATTTTTTAAGTCGAATTGATGCAGATAATAATGAGATTAAAAATATTGAAGATATTCAGAATGATTCGGTTGCAGCAACCATACATTCACAACATGAAGATCATAATGACCATTTTCCCATTTTAAATACAGTCGTCAATCGATTTAAAACCCGAATTATATTAATAGAAAGGAAAGAGAAAGAATCAGATCTAATTTTTGGGAATACTAGAATATTTATAGATAGAGCTGATCTTGACAGTAGTAATGTTCACAACATTTAAAAAAATATTTATAAAAGAATAGGTAAGATAGGAATTTATTTCTTCTTGCCCGACCCTGTATATAATCGTTTACAAATAGAATTAATACACCTATATTCTCAATACAATAACATAAATTTTGTACGTTGTGTCTAGTTTGCAAAGGATATCTATTCGGAAGATGAAGTTCTAAAACAAATATCTTTATTCCATGTTCGAGAGTCCGGACATGCTGGTCTTATTCCGAATTATGAGGGTATTAAGCACAAGATTTTTGTGTCTAGTTTGCAAAGGATATCTATTCGGAAGATGAAGTTCTAAAACAAATATCTTTATTCCATGTTCGAGAGTCCGGACATGCTGGTCTTATTCCGAATTATGAGGGTATTAAGCACAAGATTTTTTTTCAAATTTAAGATTGTTAGTGCAAAAAGTAGTAAACAACTGTGAAATCTGTGCATCGGGGAAATATGACAGAAATCCAATAAAGAAAAAAAATAGTTTGCCGAAATACCATTAGAGATTAATGAAATAATTCATGTTGATACATATGTAAACTCAAAACAATCATTTATAATATTTCTGGATAAATTTTCTAAGTTGGCTTTCATTTCGAAGACCGTAATAGCCTTACTCTAGTAGAAAAAATGAGACTATATATTTCAATTAATGGAAAAATGAAAAACTTATAGGGGATAATGAATTTAATAACCTGAAAGGAATTTTGTAGACTAGAAGGTATTAATATTCATTTTGCAAAGCCTAGCAGCCACACCGGAAATTCCGATGTAGAGAGATTAAAGAACACCTTACAAGGCAAAATTCAAATAACAAAAATCAACACCATTACAGAAAAAATTAGAACTCCTAATATAGTAGAACTCCCAATAAAGGAACAAATATCCAAAGCTATAGAATTATATAATAAAACATATCATTCAACAATAAAAGAAACACCTCATAATGTTCACTATGGCGGTGTAGAAAAGACGCTAATTGTAGAACGTCTAGAGGAACAGAAGTACAAAATTGCAAAATTAAATGAGCACAGCCAGAATTACGAAGATACTAGAGGGGGGTTTTATAACAAATTATAAAAATGTTCGTCATAAAGAACAACCTACATACAGAAAACAACCACTTCAAAATGTACATGAGACTAATATAAAACGACCTTTTAAATTCTCAGCTCCTAATAATGGTACTATTACTGATGTTGCTAATACTGTCGATTAAAGTTTCTCTATTTATCAGTCAGATCAGTAAAAACAATGGAATTGTTGAAATAAAAACTGGAAACGTATAAATCGTAAACGAAACATGAACATTGATACATATAATAAAAATAAAGGAGGTAGAACACATAATAATTAACATAAGTATAAATATAGAATGTTTAGATTTACATCGTAATAACAAATTGACATTATTATATCAAAATTTAAAGCATTACTACCAACAACAAGATACAAGAGGTTTAATAAATTTAGGATGACAAGAATATGCAGGATATATTTGATCCATTATCGACCAAGATTCTTACAATTCTATCTAATACTCATCAATTATTCTTCTTCGTTCGAAGAACAGAAAGTGGTAAATGATTCATTGTTAAACAAAATATTCTATTTGGACTAACTATCTAATCGAAAAACTTTAGAATATAAAATTTACCAATTACAAGATAATATAAAAATAAATAACTACAAGATCCACGAAAATATGCTTACGTACTTAATGTCTCCACATCGTATTTTTCCACCGAATTGGCTGTGGTTAAGTATTTTGAGTTCTTAATAGGTTCCAAGTATCTCCATAAAAAATCATGAATATAGGTCCATTTTTTCGGATAGCCCCCATATAAGGGTACCCCCAATTTTCGGTATTTTGGGGTTC